AGTTTCATAAAATGGTTGCAACTCACTACAATTCACATGTTCAAGTTCTCCGTAGTGACAATGGTGGAAAATATCAGAGTTTTGACCTTCAACAATATTTGGAAGCACATGGAATTCTTCATCAAACCACTTGTTCCAATACACCCCAGCAAAATGGGGTTGCAGAGCGAAAAAATCACCACTTGTTAGAAGTTGTTCGTGCTTCCTTGATAGATGCTCATATGCCGTTATCGTATTAGGGAGAAACTCTTGTCTCAGCAGCATATCTAATCAATCGAGTACCCTTTAGCTCTATTGACTTCCAGACACCATTACAGGCTCTCACTGACACAATTGTTGCCCCAACCATCCCAAATCTACCTCCTCACGTATTTGGTTGTGTAGCATTTGTACACCTCCGTAAACATCAACGCACCAAGCTAACTCCTCGAGTGTTGTGATGTGTTTTTCTCGGATATGCTACTCATCAAAAGGGGTATTGCTGTTATCACCCTCCAACTCGACGAATGTTTATCACCATGGATGTTGTCTTCTATGAAGACTCGATGTATTTTTTCTCTGTGTCTGAACTTTAGGGGGAGTAACAGAGAGAAATTCAGACTCTAGATTATGATTCTCACATTTTTTAGGACGGCGATTTGAGTGGTAATGGCGATTCTAGTGGTGATGACTCACAAGTTAGAGCATCCAATTAAGAATCGAGCGAATTGGATTCAAGTGGTATAAGTTTGGATCAAAGTGGTGATGAACGTCCAGAAATGGAAAGTATGGCGCCAACTCCACAGTTGTCCGAGTTTGAGCCAACTCCACAGTTGTCCGAGTTTAAGTCCCTTGCAACTGATATATCAAACCAATTGCCTACTGAGGATGTTCCTGATTCAGTGCCTGAGCCACTCAGAAAACAATTACCACAGCGTCACACTAGAGGTATTCCTAAACCCACATATGAACCTGAACTTTCTAGTAAAGTTAAGTATCCCATAAGTCATTATGTGTCAAACCATCGTTTGTCAGAATTAAAATTTTCATTTGTAAATCAATTATCTACTGTATCTACTCCTAACAGTGTGCAGGAAGCTTTAACTGACCCTAGGTGGAAAGTAGCTATGAACGAGGAGATGAAATCCTTACAGAAAAATAAAACTTGGGAACTCATTGATCCTCCACCAGGAAAGAAACCAGTAGGATGTCGTTGGATTTACAATGTGAAGTATAAAGCTGATGCCATAGTTGAACGCTTTAAAGCAAGATTAGCGGCAAAAGGTTACACCCAAACCTATGGAATTGATTATACTGAGACATTCGCACCTATAGTCAAAATCAATACAGTTCGTGTCTTATTGTCTTTAGCTGCAAGCTTGGATTGGCGATTACAACAATTTGATGTGAAGAATGCCTTTCTGCATGGTGAATTATCTAAAAAATTCTACATGGATCTCCCACCAGGGGTGCATGATACCTGAAAAGTATAGTCAGAAAGTCTGCCGGTTAAAGAAATCATTATATGGGTTGAAACAGTCTCCAAGAGCATGGTTTGGAAAATTCACAAAATCGATGATAGCCTTTGGCTACCGTCAGAGCAATTCAGACCACACATTATTCTTGAAGAAACAACAGGGTAATATCACTGCACTTATTGTATATATAGATGACATGGTGGTTACCGAGAATGATCCTGAAGAAATGAAGGCTCTCAAGAAGTACTTGTTCAGAGAATTCGAAATGAAAGATCTAGGTCCTTTGAGATATTTTCTTAGGATCAAAGTATCTCGGTCTAATAAAGGAATCTTTCTATCTCAAAGAAAATATACCTTAGATCTATTACAAGAGACTGGCATGACAGTATGTCAACCAGCTGAGACACCAATGGAAGAAGGACTGAAGTTATGTGTTGAGTCCAACTAAGTACCTGCTAATAAAGGAAGATACCAAAGACTTGTAAGGAGATTGATGTACTTAGCACACACAAGACCGGATCTGGCTTATGCATTGAGCATTGTTAGCTAGTTTATGCATGATCCTGGAGAGCAACATATGACTGCAGTTATGCGCATTTTGAGGTATCTTAAATCTACTCCTGGAAAATGAATTTTGTTCACTAAAAATGCTGGTTATCAGAACATAGATGCATATACTGATGCTGATTGGGCTGAAGCTATAGATGATAGGCGATCTACTTCTGGTTACTTCACTTTTGTATGAGGTAATCTTGTTACATGGAGAAGTAAGAAACAAAACGTTGTTGCTCGCTCGAGTGCAGAAGCTGAATTCAGAGGTATGGCGCTTGGACTTTGTGAAACTTTATGGTTAAGACTTCTCTTGCGGGATTTGGGTTATCTACCTGGGCGACCGATTCGACTATATTGTGACAATAAAGCAGCATGTGATATTGCCTATAATCCAGTTCAACATGATCGTACGAAACATGTCGAAATAGACAGATTCTTCATTAAGGAGAAGTTGGATGGAAGAATTGTGGAGTTGCCTAAGATTCTATCTGAGGATCAACTAGCCGATATTCTCACCAAAGCAGTCTCAAATCAAGTGTTTTCAAAATTTTTAGACAAGTTGGGCATGTGTGACATCTATGTACCAACTTGAGGGGGAGTGTTGAGATTTTACCTATTGTACAGCTGTATGATTGAATTATTTTCTCCGTGATTTAGGGCTAATTGGTAGGTAATTAGTTTCCCGTTTATTGTATATTTAGTTACCTATTTTAGCTGGATATTACTCTATAAATTGAATGTAACACCATCGTGAATAAAATTGAATTTGAGTTTTGATTCTCATATTCTTTCTCTGAATTTGAAGACCCATTATGTTGTAGCACCTTTTTTAAGCTTGAATTCTACAAGTAGAACTTGCTTATGTTAAGGTATATTCATGTACTCGAAGAAGTGCTCAACTTCATTAAGCCAATCCAAGAATTCATCAACATAAAAAGATCCCTTAAAATGAGAAAATCAAGTTTTGCCTGAAACTCAAGATTGTATGGATATATATGATTTTTTTCGCGTTTACATCGATCATGTTAACCCATCATAACCCATCTGAATCCAAACTACTCATCATCAAAATAATCCGCATAGGCTAAACTCCTACATGGATATACAAGAACATAACCAATGTTGAGTTGGTTACGAGAAACGTCGTCAACACTACCCCATATTGGACCATGGGCCTGCTTACCACCAATTCCAAGACTAGCATTTTGTTTAAACCATTAAACAAATCATTGTTCTTGAGTATGCATAGTTGTTAGTGGGGCCTATACTCTATGATCATCATCATCAAAACGGTTGCTGCTGAAACCATCATTCGCTCAAACCAGGGTAGAATCATGGCTTTGATACCAACTGATGAAACAGAAGTTAAAAGATACACTCACATTGAGATAATGACGAAACAAAAGTTTCAAACTCAAAACATATATTTTGTACTGTATTCTTCATTTCAAGATATATTTTCTCTTTAAACTTACACTTTTTTATAGGGAGTTACAATCGGAAAAACAATAAATGTATGAGACACTTCGCTGTCGCAAATCTACATTTTCTATATCTTCCGCGCCACGCAAATTGTCATGCCCGTCCCCGTTGTGCCAATATTCTTCATACTTATGATGCAAAATGTGTCTACATAGTTAAGAGGCATCCACATATATAAGTGCCAAGTTGCCAACAACCTCTCCCCCACATGCGATGCGGAACGTCACACAAATCTTCTCATCTTTCACCCGTCACAATAATCATTGGCCCTACATGTTTTATTTATTTATTTATTTATTTTTTTTAATAAGTAAAATATATTAGAAAAGCGTTCAAAAGGGGAATGCGTCCCTAATACAGAAGAACAAAGAACCTAAGGACCAATAGAATCCAAAAGGTCAAAAAGATCAGCAATCGAGGATCAAGCGCTTCCTCTAACATAACATAAAAGAGAACGGAGAATAAGAGATTTTAAGTGAGCAATAGTTGATTCTTTCCCTTTAAAATTTCTATTGCTTCTCTCTCTCTCTAGATACACCACCAAACACAATGTGGGACAATCCTCCATGTTTTATTACATTCACACGTATGTATATGTATATGTTTATATATATGTATACATATAAATTTATACATACATATATATATATATATATATTTCAATACTCACATTACCATTTCTATTCTTTTGTCTTACCTCATTTACCACGCACTTTTTTCTACCTATAATCTGGCACCACCCCATGCATACATCATACATACATCACTACACATTCACACTATTTCTAATTTATTACCACACCTTTACGCACCTACTGCTTGTTTCCTTCTTCTTCTTTTTTGACTTTCTTTCTTTCATGTGGTGGGTCCCATCACTACGAAATTTCCTTGTGGGTGAACCCAGAAATGTTTTCCTACATCACTTTTAGATATCAATGCATTCAATGTGACTTCTGAGTGCCATTCGGTCTTTATTGAGTGGTAGATGATGAAGCATGGAGTTGATGGAGACTAATACGCTACAAAATTGGTGTGGAAGAGAGTTTTTCTTGGAATAGATGTTGATTTTGAAATGATTCTTTTGTATTACCTATCTCTTGCTGATATATAAGGGCTTAAGGAACAGGTAATCATTGGACACGAAACTAACAATAGATACATGAAAGCGTAAGAACCCAAAGGGATTCCCTTATTTGTTTGTCTAATTTGAGGGAGAAGATCCTGTTGAGTTCTTAGGATCATTTCCTTTGGGTTGTTAATACTAAAGTAGTAGAATTTGGTGCATCAGTATTGTGTCGACCATATGGATCTATACAGGGATCATGAATAAGAAAGTGCATCAATTCTTATTTGCACTGGGAATAACTCAACAGGAGCACTATAAAACAACGGAAGATATGTATTGTATTAAACCAATACAAAGGCATTGGATAGAATTTAAGCTTTCACACAAAACAATATCCATAAACACTTCAAAGAAACTGATGTCCAGAGTATTTCTCTTCATGATTAGCTTACATAAGATGGAAAATATTATTGAGGACGATAAAATTTTCTCCCTGATCATGATTTCTTAAACACCAGAAGTAGGATAATCTTTGAGTGATTATACACTATTTTTCAAACAAGAACATGTAATATATGGAAAAAGAGAACCTTAACCATCATGTTTACTTGGACAACAGATATTGGACATCTGATGATGAAGATACACAACTATCAAGATAAAATCCTGTTGAAGTTGAAGCAGCATCCCAAGGCCCAGTGAGTTCAGCTACCGGAAATTCAACCTCTTCATAGTTTTGTTGAATAGTAGATGCTCCATGTGACATTGTAATCATTTCCAACTCCATTGCAACTTCTTTCATTGTAGGCCTATTTTTTCCATCCAAGTTCAAGCATCTTTTTGCAAGGTTAGCGACTTGCATGATCTCTTCTTTCCCATCATCTTTTACAACTCGAGCATCAAGAATATCAAACAGACGATTCTCCTCCATTGTCGATATGAAATATGTTGCTAAACTTCGACATTTTTCAGATATGGTTGACGAGATCGGTTTTTGTCCTGTTATGAGCTCAACAAGAACTACTCCAAAGCTATAAACATCACTTTTCTCTGTAAACTGACTTGATTGGAAATATTGAGGATCCAAGTATCCAAAGGTGCCCAGTACTTTTGTGGTCAAATGAGTTTGATCAACTGCAATTGATCTTGAAGTTCCAAAGTCGGACACTTTTGCTCTGTATTTATCATCCAACAATATGTTTGTGGACTTGATGTCTCGATGATAAATGGGTATGGTAGCTGCTGAGTGTAGATAGGAAAGAGCTCCTGCAACTTCTACAGCAATCCGAACACGCATGTCCCAGGAAAGAGGGAACTCTTCATTTTGGTCATGGATATACTGAAAAAGGGTTCCATTAGGGATAAATTCATAAACAAGCAGAGGAACTTCTGTCTCCAAACAACATCCATGTAGCTTGACTACATTTCTATGGATAATTTGTGATAAAATGACCACTTCATTAATAAATTGCTCAAGTTGGCCTTCATCCACTATTTTGGACTTCTTAACTGCTACAATTCTACCATCTGTCAACATGCCTTTGTAAACAGTACCTTGGCCTCCTTGACCTAGTATTCGATTCTCGTTGAACTGATCAGTGGCTTTTTCCAACTCCTTTGAAGTAAAGAGTTTGGTTTTCTCAACATTACCTTCACCTGAGGACAGTTGTTGTTTTAGTAACAAACCCCCATTTCGTTTAAAGAATTTTTCCTTGACCTTAATTTTCCTCCTCCTTTTCACTAGTGTAATCATCCACCATGTACCAATAAGTAAAAATAGTATGCCGAGACCTGTGCTAGTACCTGCAGAACTCAATAGGAAAGAATCACCTTTTCAGCCTAAAATATTTATGCTTGAGTGCATAAAATACTTGTATGCACTGATATTTCCTAGGCTTATTCATATCCCATAAGAAAGAGAAGTCAAGTATTCTAATGTTGGAAAAATCAGCCAGTTGTATGGTTAGAGTGTTGCAATGGGACTATATCCTTGCTACATAGTTTTAATGTGAGTGCAGAACTACCCAATTAAAAACCGTCAACAGTAATTAGGAACCATATTAAATTATACTTGAGGTTTAAACTATTAAGTCCACAAATTTGATCATAGACTACATAGTTACTTTTTGGAGCTACATTAATTGCTACCATGTTTCCTATAATAATTGTACTGTCAGAAGAGATCCAATATTTGCAAGCTTGAATCCTATTTGTCTTAAAAATGATGTTGACAGTTTAAAAAATCTAGTGTTTTTCTTTCTTCTTCTTCAGTTTGGCTCAAAATTTAGTTCTTTTTTTATATGGACTCAAACCGAATCGATCAATTTGTCTGGACTCTGGTCAAGTAAAAATTAGTACCTTCAAATTTGTGCTTGTTATCTCAGCGTGTGTGTTTTGCGCGGGGAGTGGGGAGCACGTACCTATAATAATGATCCCATTTCTTCTGTTGCCTAACTTGCCTTCAATGTCCTTGAGTTTGTAGCAATAAGATCCTTTAAATCCAACGGATATGTACCCAGGTGGACAATAGCACTTGTAACTTCCTGGCGTATTCGAACAGTTCATATGACAGCGATTGGTACCTCTCGCACATTCATCAATATCTAATATGCAAAATCAAACAAAATAAGTTGTTAACATGTTTCACACGCCTGCACAGAACTACTACAGAGTACTCGAGGGATATCTTAATTGTGCCATACACAGAACGGTGGCAATGTTAAAAGTTAGTACAGACTCGTGGCTAGGTGTTTGCTGTTTTTGGCAATCAAGTGATGAAGATATGTTTTAGTATTGCATAACTAAACTGAAAATTCTCTGTGCAGAACTTTACCTTGGCATCCATCACGCAGATATGGGTTTCCTTCATAGCCACGGTCACATTGGCATAGATAACTTGAGCTTTGATTGGAATATGAACTGCAGGAAGCATTAGTACCGCATAATGATGAGCTATTAGACACCACTGCGCCAACGCGGCATTTTATATAGTTTTTGCAACCTTTTTTACCATTCTCTGGAGGAATCACTTTACCATTCTGTGGATTAGTAGGAATCAGTGCTCCGTATGTGATTGATCCTAATGAGAATGATTGGCAACTCCCATATGTACGCCAAGTCAGCACGGCAGGGACCACCTCCATTTTCTGCACGGCATAGGGGTCGGTCAGGTTAGTGAACCAATCTTGCTCCACCATAAAGGCATATTTGCACTCATTTTTATCATTGTTTGAATCTATGCTTCTAAATGATGCATTGATATACTTGAGTGATGGAGGGATTGTGGTTTGGCAGCAGTTGATGCCATAGCAGCTTTTATCTCTTGAAGTAAAATTGCAGTTGGACACGCACCCTATGACCATTCCTCCCCAGTCGATTAAGGCGAGGTTGTCACAACCAATGGCCGTGAATCGGTTGTTGGTGTCTGAGAAAGAAAAAGGAGTACCAATCAAGTCCACAGCTTGATTATTAACCCTGTTGTTACAATTAGAAGTGATCAACGGGTTGTTGACACGAACAGTGCCTTCTGTCAATGAGATTTCAAGCACCTCAAGGCGGATGCTAGTGATGAAAGGTTTGAAGGTGTTGAAAGATTTGTTGCAGCTTATCTCAAACGACCAATGACCAGAACAATTGGCTCCAATACCAAATGGGAAAGGAATGATGACATTTCCACATCTGTCTTGACAACCAGGTTTTGCCATTGCTAGTGTTGCTGCTAATGCTGATGATGCTTGTGTTAGCCATAACAATAGTTCGATTTGCAGCACCAATTGAATAACCATTCTCTCTCTCTCTGTTTTTGGAAGATTTGAGGGAAAGAAAGAAGAACAAGACTACTATCTGTTAGTAATTAGTCAATGGCAGAGTCATTTAAGTAGGTTGGATTGATCATTTGAGGCAATCACCAATTAAATAATCATTCTCTGTGGGTGTGCTTTTGGAAGAATGAAAAAGGAATAAGACGAAGACTACTATCTATTAGTCATTGACTCAATATTACTCAATGGTGGAGTCATTAAACCATTATTCCAAAGTTGGAGCCTACCATCATTTTGTATTTGTGTTGGATTGTTCATTGAGGCAATTATCTAATATGTGCATATATATGAAGTATTTTATAAATAAAAAAAAGGGTTTCAAGCTAGCCTCCATAGGGCTATAGGCACAAGTAGGTATGGCAAAATATTCTGTCCGGTCGGGTATCCTTCACACCCCGCCTCGTTGGAACTATTATGGGACGAGAATGGGAGTTAGGATTGAAAACCAGCATGGTTATGAGGCGGGAATGAGTAAAGATCACTTGTCCCGACAAGTTTACCGTGATAAATTCCAATTTTGTAATTATACTTTGTTTTATAGTATTCAATAATATTAAATATATATTAAGCAAACCCTAATTTAGTCTATTCGAATCACTAAATATCCTTTTGTATTATTCTTATTTAAGAACTTCATGTATTATGTTCTTACAATAATTATTGTCTGAAATTCTAATTGAGAAGTTGAATCTTGTTTGTTTTTATTTGCGTAAGAGAAAAAGATTATTACCATAGTTAAAAATTTATTTCATTATTCACTTTCGTTAGATTTGTAATACAATTACGGAAGTACTTTACAAAACTTATTCTCATCTTGGTTCTATTTAATAGACAGTTTTGAAGCAGGGATGGGATAGCTATGCTAAACGGGGATGGGGATGGCATTCCCGCCCCAAGGTAGCAACCTTTCCTCTTCTCTTCTTTAAGCACCGACGACCTCTCAATTTTATAGTTAGAAATTTTAGCAATATAAGATGTATAGAGCATGATGGTATTGATGGTATTTTCTAATTTTAGTTTTATTTGTTTTTTTTAAATGTTAATTATAATGGGCATTTTTGTAAATGTACAATGACGGTGACCAGAAATGACTGCCGGGGCCAATTGCACATTTATGTGGTACTGACTTGCTCGATTTTGCCAATTGCACATTTATGATAGTTGTGGTACTGACTTGTTCAATTTTGTAGTAGAGAGAATAAAATGCTAATTTTTTTATAGTTGAGAGGAGTTTTATGCTTTTTTGCCATTACCCTATTAAAAAAGTTAGATAACCAAGAGCCACCTAACGAAATCATACCCTACTTTCCAAAATAATTTTGGCTTGAGCTTTATCTAAAGCTGAATATATTTATACTTTGCCTTGGAGCTTATCTAAAGAAAATTAATATTCCGAAAAATAAAATAAAAAAGAAAATTAATATTTATACTTTACCACATGTAAAGTGTAAATTAATATTAATAATGAAATCAATTTGCACCGGAAGACCAAGACTGAGGAGTGAGGACCCGACGCATGAGCAAGCGATAAGGATCCAGTCATATTGGTCCGACTGCTTTAGTAAAAGTACCTTTAATAAAATTACTTTTATTCTTTTTTTTCTCTTAAAAAAAATTACTTTACTTTTGTGGCTTTTATAAAGCTACTTTACCTTTAATGAAAATAGCTCTCTCAGAGCATCTATGACTATTATATCCAATGGTTGAAAGAGTCGTCACATCGCCATTTTAAAACAGACCCAAAACGCTATAACGTTGTCTTTAAACGGAGTGATTTACCATTTTTTTTTTTTTTTTTTTTTTTGCCTTTTTTCTTCTTTCTTCCTCCCATTCATCTTTCTCTCTCCTCTGTCCTTTCTTCGTTCTCTCTCTCCCTCCTCTTACCGCCCCCAGCCACAGCCGCCACTCATTCCACCAAACCACCCCCAAAAACATTATCTTTTTCATCAAATCTTCATTCCAGTACTCTTTGATTTATTGGGGATTACTATTTTCTCTCTCAAAGCCTCTCACTTTGTCTATCTATTCTACTGGGGTTGGGGTCTTTATTTTTCTTATATGCATACATACACGCTGTCACGCTCCAAAATCCTAAATACATGAACTCTTATCTCGTATTAAGATTTGACATGACTTTTCTTACACAACCACAATTTTAAAATAAAAATAATTAAATAAAGAAGTAGATGAAAACCACCCTCTAATTTATTAAATCGATACAACCATAATATCAAACAACCTTGTCAAAAATAATCCATGATAACTGGACAAAATGAACTAACTCTCAAAAAAAAATATCTTCATTCTTATTACAATGCGAAAATTGAACTAAACCAAAGAATGCGACAAACAAGCCAAAATCCATCACCATTATGTAATCCCAACACGTTCCTACTCAACGTGTACCTGAAATGTGATAATGAGGTGAGCTCACAAGCTCAGCAATAAATGCTAAACACAATCATCGTTCAGCAAATTAACCTTACCTTATATTCCTGTATATATAAGCAACTCAAATAAGTTCATTATTCAAATGTGTATATCCCAGTTAATTATAAACTTAATGAATAACCATCTTTTATTTTTAATAAATCGGCATATCTTACATGAGCCCCGGGCTCCCGTCCAATAAAATGGTGTGAATCGTATAGTCCCTGACTACCAAAAACACACGTGTGGCTGGATTGTACGTCTACTTCCCAGATGATCCCTGATCACGTCCACACAATAAGGGCTCATTAGACCCATGGCCATAACAAAAGGGTAGTGCACTCCCAAATAGGTAGGTCCCTGACCATACCCAAGAGTCATCATAGGGTCAGTCCCTGACTGCCCTCCGACTAATCCAAACTCATCATTATTAATTATAGTGAATTATGAGAGATATCATTAATTAATAATTCAAATTAATAGTTAATGCACCCAAATACACTTTTAATTTAAAAACAGAACTCTAATGACCCAACCACTGAGAGTACCAAATTCTGGACATACCCCAATATTTTTAGAATAATAATACTATTTTTCCTTATTTCCTTTAGTTTAAAAATCAATTTAAAAGAATAATAATAAAATATAAAGAAATAGTATTCTATTTTATTTCCTTTAATCAAATAGTATTTTATTTCAATCTGTTTTCAATATCAATGAAATATGAAAAAAAAAAGAGTAACTTGCAATCTAGCCATCACGTGCGTACAAGTCACTGTAATTAGGGACTAAACTCACATGTATAATATATCAAATAAACATATGTATAAACATATGCCATTGATGCACACATTGCCCAGTCCTGCTACATGATTAACATGAACCAAAGTAATCATGTATACAATGCAATACTATATATATATATATATATCAATCACAGACAGACAAAGTCTCTAAACTCAATTTTCGCAAGTTATATATATATATAGAGGTATGAAGGACCAAAAAGTAAGAGTATTCAATTTGGTTAATATTAAATCATATAAATCCTAATCATGTTACAATAGTACTGCCAACTAGTAGACATGGCTCAGTTCCAATTCACATGTTCGTATCTAAACATATATACATATATCCATATAAAAATGCTTGCTTTCATGTACATGCCTACAAGAATTATACATACATGTATATATGTATATATATAGATCCAGAGTTTATATACATAATACACAATTTATAATTCTATGATCTAGTCCTCCAACCATATCTCATAGATTACATCAGACAAATAGTTCATAACAATAACTAAATATTAATAATCATTCTGATTGTTTGGGTGGGATCAATAAATCGTAACTTGTAACCTTATATATCAATTTACTAAAATAATAATAACATAACCAATCTTTACAAATTTAACAAAACCAATAACCAAAGTTTCTACAATTGAATTTTTATCTAATCTTTAGTAATAAATAATTCTCGTCCAATTAAATTCAAGACAACAACCTATACAACTATATTATCCTAATCATAACTATCATTAAGAATATATATATATATATATATATATTTTTTCCTACTATTTATTAAAACATAAAAGATTCATCAAAAGCAAGTTCCAAATATATATAAGAGTACAATGCAAGGTTAACTTGCCTCAAATATCGTTTCACCTTCTTTTCAGACTCGACTATTGAAATATAATTTCTCCTTCTTCTCTAGGCAATTTCTCAGTCACCGTCTACCTTCTGGCTACCACAGAGGTCAACTTTAAATATCACTCTCAATATCTCACGCTTCTCTCTTCGTTTCTTTCTTTTTTTTTTTTTTTTTTTTTTTACAAATAATCTCTCTATAGAACTGATACGGCGTGAGTTATAAAAGATAATTATAACTGTGGTTGAGATAGTTTAGGATTCCTTTTTGAAATTTAAATTTTAAAAACTCTAATATCTTTAATTTAACATTCAAATAATAAATAATAAATAATAAATAATAAAATATAATATACGAAATTTAAGGGTTTTACACACGTATCATATATGTGTGTGTGTGAAATTCATGTTCCGTGATTTGTTTTTTGGGCGAAGTTTCATGTTTTTGGTTGGGTTTTAGAATGTTAACTGTTTTTTTTGGGAAGATTTGACAAATGAAGCAAGGTTAATAAATGGTTTTGGAACAGGGGTGGGGTATCTATGCTAAACCGGGATGGGGATGGTATTTCCCGTCCCCAAATCGTCCTGTTGCCATCTCTCGACACAAGTTTAAGCAAATATACACTCACTCACTCACTTTTTTTTTTATAAAAACACTCAACCTCCTAAAGGGGAAGAGAGCAATTGGTAAATAAACAAAAACTAGTATCTTCCATTATCTTATCTAGTTTTTCTTTAATGTAATAATAAATTTAATCATTTAATTAATTAAATGTATTTTGTTAAAAATTTGAGAACATGAGATAGGGGTGACAAAGTTCAATATATTGCTAGACACGACCCAAACTCATCATCATGAAATTAGTGGATTAGGATTTACCTTAATAGTTTCTCGTGTAACATGTCAACCTCTTAACGTGTTAATTTGACTTATTTAATTAATCGTGTTAGAATTGTGTCAGGCCCGAATCGACAAATAATTCATTTCAGCTTGAAAGCTTCATGCACAAATTTGGAGCGCTAGCTTGCGGTTTATGCCACCCGTGATAGCGCATGCAAGACCTGGGAGCTCGTTTGATCACTAGAAGGGCTAGCTGTAGTTTGGTTGGAGCTGTAGGACGCATGGAGGTGGGTCTGCTCGTTGAAGCTCTACTCTTCGC